CTTTATTACAGTGCCACCCCTGAGGTTTGGCACCTTAACATTTTCCCCCTTGATTTTGGAAAACTAATGCTGTCACTTCAAATAGTGTTTCTGTCAGTTGAATATAACCAACTATTCAAGTTCTATCAGCCATCTTATTGCAGCTAATGTTTGTTCCTAATCTCCTTACTAACCAATGGCCAATCGTCATTTCGAAGCTATACCTACCTCTCATGGGATCTCTTGTTATGAGCTTATTGCTTGAGTTAAGAGATCTTTTCAAGGACGTTTCACAATATAAATTTATGATTTTAATAATTTAAAGTACACTAATAAATAACATAAATACCAATCCGTCTCATTTGTTTCTCATCTTTTATATTCTCTTGTTTCAAACTCTCTCGTTTTTTGGATTCTCTCGTTCAGAGGTTCAAGTTTTCAATTCTTGCTCTAAACCTCTCGTTGGAGGTTCAAGTTTTCAAATAACCCAACGAATTGAGTACCCACATCCAACCCTAGTAATTGACCACGTTCTGAAACTTCTTTTAGCAAGATAACTTTGAACAAGTTTAAAGGGTGCACGTACTTCATCTAATCCCATGTATGTACAAAAAACATTATGGACCAATATTACTCTTAGACTATATAAAACTATAAACATTATGGACTCTAACAATTGCTTATACTGGCAGCTGAATATACTTATATTGACATCAGTGAACTTTCTTAAGCTTTTGACTTCACTAACAATAAAGATCGGTTTCGTAAGACAAACTTTAGAGGGACAAGTTTAGGAATCCATTCATTGCAGTTTTGAATGGACCATCAATCCAATAAAATTCTACTATATAATTTAATTCAACGTCTTAACTAACTTTATTATTTAGACAACATAAATACAACTTAATTTAGAAGCAATATAACAACATTGTTATAGCATCTAAAATTTATTTCTCTTATTGATTTCCTAGTATATACTTGAAGAATTTGAAAACTATATTTTATATGAAAATAACTAGGTCAATAGCCAAAAACAACAATATCGTACCGGAAGCATTTGAATAGTAGATCATGATTAAGAATAAATAATGGAAAACTTATTCGGTTGACCTAATGGGTTAAACTGTGAATACTCAAAACTTGGTAAATTTATTTAACTCCTTTAGTTTGATAATGATATTTAGACCCCAAAAAAAAACATTTGGAGAGCTTTCATATGCAAATGACATTTTCTAACCAAGATTCGTGCTTTGACTAAGCTTTCTTGAAATCTTCCAAATTCTTTGTCCAAACTTTGTCTTTTCCTTGCTATCTAAACCCACACTTGAGCAAGAGTCATTAACTAATATGTTTAGGGGCATATTAGTTTGTTATCATCAAAATAAGAGCATGATGACTCCTTGAGTCAACAAAGGGGTTTATTGATTGTTTTCTAAACTTCTTGGAGTCAATTAATTTATTAATGTTGTTTAAAACTAGTTGATCCACTTACTTTCTAAGAGCCCTTTAAGTGAGAAAATCGACCAAAAAGAGAGATCTTTCCATCTGGGTTGAAAAGGATGGTGGAGGAAGATGAAGTCAACTGAAATGGTGAAGAAACTCGGTTGAAAGTCGGCAATAGATGCCGACAACGGCAACTTTGAAGACAAAAGATGGAAGATGAAGAGTTGAGAGATGTCATCTTATTAGTGTATTTTTTATATGTAACACCCGAAAGTTGAACTCTAACTGATTTTAGGAATTAGAGAAGACTTCAAAAAGGAAACAAAAAACAATTTTAGGAATTAAGGTTAATTTTTTTTCATGGGTACTCGTCGGGTATACCTTGCCCACCCGCAAAAAATCAGGCTGGGCCAAGTACGAGTAAAAAAAAAAAAGGTTCGAAAAAGTTGGACTCGTACCCTACATTTTTTAATGGGTACAGGCTTATTTTGCCAGGTCTGCTTTAGTCCCTTACAAATTTTCAAGAAAGGTGTTCATTGATTGTTTTCTAAACTACCAGGAGTTAATGTTAATTAATGATATTACCATAGTCCAAAAAATCATATAACCGTTGTTCAAAACCCAACCGGTCCACTCACTTTCCAACTTTTCTCTTCAAATACCAAACTTCAATTTTTCAAATTTTCAAGTACGGGGTTTATTGAAGTTTTCCTAAAACAAATGCAGTTTAAAATCGAACTAGTCCGCTCATTTTACAATTTTTCGCTTCATCTCAGCAACTAAATATCTGAGAGCATCTCCAACCCACGCCAAATTGGCGCAAAAAACACCAATTTGGCGTGGGTTGGTACTCCAACCAGCGTCAAACACTGCGCCAAAATGGCGCAGCACTGTAGCACAATAAAAAAATATTTTTTTTTTATTTTGTTTTTTTTTTATTTTGTTAAGTTAATTTGAGTATTAAATTTTACACCAAAAATCATACCAAATTTGAGTATTTGTATCTAATTTAATTTGATTATTATTTATAATAATAAATTTATAATAATGATATAATTTAAAAAATGATGACAAATTAAAAATATAACTTTATTCAATGCAAATATTAAACTACAATAACTAAAAATAAAAATTAACACTAATTTAAAAACACATATAGAATAAGTGAAGGGAATGAAATATTAATTTTTTCAAAATATAAAAACATAGAATTTTAAGGACATTTATGAAATTTATGGGGTAACATACAAAAAAAAAAAAAAAATTTAAACTTTGGAGTGAGACATTTTAATAAATACAACTTTTTTAGTTCATCAATGGAGTGTTAATAGCTTCATTCAACAAAAAAAAAAAAAAAAAGCCAACCTAACCAGGAAACAAGGCCCACACAACGTGAGCCTATAAACACAAGATATCACCAGATAGGCCCCAACAAAACCAAGCCCAAACCCCTCAGCCTAAATATAATACTTCATGCGGGCCTCTGAAAAAAAACTTATTACCTGGGATTGAATTTGATTTTAATCCCGTTAATGAAGCCCTGCTTGAAGATGACTATTGCTTGTGCAGGGTCAATGAATGACTTTATTACAGTGCCACCCCTGAGGTTTGGCACCTTAACATTTTCCCCCTTGATTTTGGAAAACTAATGCTGTCACTTCAAATAGTGTTTCTGTCAGTTGAATATAACCAACTATTCAAGTTCTATCAGCCATCTTATTGCAGCTAATGTTTGTTCCTAATCTCCTTACTAACCAATGGCCAATCGTCATTTCGAAGCTATACCTACCTCTCATGGGATCTCTTGTTATGAGCTTATTGCTTGAGTTAAGAGATCTTTTCAAGGACGTTTCACAATATAAATTTATGATTTTAATAATTTAAAGTACACTAATAAATAACATAAATACCAATCCGTCTCATTTGTTTCTCATCTTTTATATTCTCTTGTTTCAAACTCTCTCGTTTTTTGGATTCTCTCGTTCAGAGGTTCAAGTTTTCAATTCTTGCTCTAAACCTCTCGTTGGAGGTTCAAGTTTTCAAATAACCCAACGAATTGAGTACCCACATCCAACCCTAGTAATTGACCACGTTCTGAAACTTCTTTTAGCAAGATAACTTTGAACAAGTTTAAAGGGTGCACGTACTTCATCTAATCCCATGTATGTACAAAAAACATTATGGACCAATATTACTCTTAGACTATATAAAACTATAAACATTATGGACTCTAACAATTGCTTATACTGGCAGCTGAATATACTTATATTGACATCAGTGAACTTTCTTAAGCTTTTGACTTCACTAACAATAAAGATCGGTTTCGTAAGACAAACTTTAGAGGGACAAGTTTAGGAATCCATTCATTGCAGTTTTGAATGGACCATCAATCCAATAAAATTCTACTATATAATTTAATTCAACGTCTTAACTAACTTTATTATTTAGACAACATAAATACAACTTAATTTAGAAGCAATATAACAACATTGTTATAGCATCTAAAATTTATTTCTCTTATTGATTTCCTAGTATATACTTGAAGAATTTGAAAACTATATTTTATATGAAAATAACTAGGTCAATAGCCAAAAACAACAATATCATATCTGAAGCATTTGAATAGTAGATCATGATTAAGAATAAATAATGGAAAACTTATTCGGTTGACCTAATGGGTTAAACTGTGAATACTCAAAACTTGGTAAATTTATTTAACTCCTTTAGTTTGATAATGAGCAAGAGTCATTAACTAATATGTTATCATCAAAATAAGAGCATGATGACTCCTTGAGTCAACAAAGGGGTTTATACTTGGAGTTAATTAATATTAATGTGTTTTAAAACTAGTTGGTCCACTTATTTTCTAAGAGCCCTTTTAAGTGAGAAAATCAGCCAAAAAGAGAAATCTTTCCATATAGGTTGAAAAGGATGGTGGAGGAAGATGAAGTCAACTGAAATGGTGAAGAAACTCGTTGAAAGTCGGCAATAGATGCCGACAACGGCAACTTTGAAGACAAAAGATGGAAGATGAGAGTTGAGGGATGTCATCTATAGTGTTTTATGTGTAACACCCGAAAGTTGAACTCTAACTGATTTTAGGAATTAGAGAAGACTTCAAAAGGAAACAAAAAAACAATTTAGGAATTAAGGTTAATTTTTTTCATGGGTACTCATCGGGTATACCTTGCTCGGCCGCCAAAAAATGGGGCTGGGGCCAAGTACGGGTTGAAAAAGAAAAAAAGGGTCAAAAAGTTGGACTCATACCCAACATTTTTTAATGGGTACAGGTTATTTTGCCAGTTCTGCTTTAGTCCCTTACAAATTTTCAAGAAAGGTGCTTATTGATTGTTTTCTAAACTATCAGGAGTTGATGGTTATTAAATAAAAAAGTTCTTTGGATTTTTTTTTTTTTTTAATTTGTGCGAGTGAAGCTGTTGTGCGTGTTTGAAGATGGCGGATGTGCGGCGAAACAAGTGGTAATTTTTATTTGTGAAATGTTAATTGCTTTGGCCTTATTGAGAATTTGGATAGTTTATTTTTGCTGGGATTTAATATGAAAATTTTATTGTATGCAGGGTGGTTCTTTTGGTGATGCAAATGATGCCAGAAAAATGTGTTCGATCTAGGCGCATTTGTGGGGGACTTGACTTTTGAGGAAGATGCAAGTGGGTAAGTTAAGAACTGTGGAAGCTTTTTGTATAATTTGTGTAGAATTTTGCTCGTTGATTGTTTAAGATGGATCTGTGTTTTAGACAATTTGACTATTCTCAAGTTTTCTTGAATGTTTGAGTAACGACCAGTTAGTAAAGTAACTTAAAATAAGGAAATAATGGTGGGTGACTGTAAGTTCTCTGGGTGAGTTGATTGAGGTGTTGAAATCTTGGGAAATAGCTGGAAACTGGGAGGGTCACCTTTGAAAGCCTTTGCTGGTGACCAAAGTGTCATCTCTTCAATCTAGTGATGCTGCTGAATTTAATTGTAAACCTGGAAAAGAACATGTTAGTGCCAAAAATAAAAAAAAAGACGAGAGAGAACATTATTTTTGACATGCAACTGATACCGATTATTTGCCTTTGTATGAATGGTACTAATTGGATTGTTATTTGCATTTATTAAAAATCCAAGGGTTGGGCATAGTGGTAAAATCCCTTTTTTGTAACGAACAGGTCAAGGATTTAAATCCCTTGGGGCCACCTACTTGGTATATTATAGTCACTTGTTTTGGCTAACAAGGTTTCAGGGTTGGGAAGTAGCCTTCAGTTTAGATTTCAGTGCCCATGCAGGGAAAAGTTGAGGGATTTCTGGGTATAAACAAAATGCGTTGAGAAATGACATTGTCATGCACTTCAGAGTTTTTCCAATAAACTTGAAGTTGTAATCATTTATTTGACTGAGGAAATAATCTCTGCCTTGTAGAGTGGAAATAGAGGACTTACGGTTTTGGATAAATATCATATTTTTGAGTAAGAGACATTATAGAAGAACTTCTCATGTCATCTTTGATATATCAGTCCATTTGCAGTCATTGATGAGCACTTCAACTTATATTACCAAATTGTTATGATGCTATTGGTTAATGCTTATGATTCGCATAATACACCAGCACCAGTTGATGTTACAAGCTCTTGTGATTGCAGTGTTCATGTGTTAAGAGTTCTTAAAAAGTCCTATTTCAAATTGTTAAAAGTCTCTCAGCATATTTTTGCAGTGTCTTATTTCAAATTTGCACTTTAAAGAGAGTGCTAGTAGAATTGTCTTTGCAATTACAATCTGAACTTGCCTCTGATGTTCTTTTTCTTTTCATTTTCTGGTGCAGCTCATCATGTCTCGGCGGCGGATCCCGTGCTTGGATTCATATTTAGACAAGGTCTGTTATCTTTTGTACCTTGCAGGCAAAAGTTATCCCAACATAGACTAATTTTTTTTCTGAATCTGAGCAGGTCAATATTTCCTTGTGGCCTCGTTTTAAGATGGTTTTGACTTGTATCTTGGTAGTTTGTGTAATGCAAATGTGAGGACATTGTGGGAAGATGATATTCATTCATTATGTAATGAGGTGTTATGCTAATTAAAGCTTCTCTTGTTCACCTCAATGTTGAATATGGAGATGGCCAGGTGAGATGCTTTTGAGAAACTGAACTCATAAACTGTTATTTTGTTTGATTGTTTCAATAAGAGTACTTAAATATGCTGCCTTCTGTATCTGCAGCTTGAATTGAATATGGAACGATTGAGAATGGGTGTAGATAATTGCTTATGAAGCTTGCGGAAATGTTTCCAAGACCAAAATTACAGATTGTGTTTTGATAATAACTATGACATGACAATTGCTGTACTAAAGGTGAGATCTATGTTCTTCATGCTGGCTATTACAAAAATTTCATATGGACAGAAGTGGAGGTCCTGCAGGGTACTTTTGGAGAATTTTCTTTGCTTAGGCTGTTGACCTTTATAAGGAGAGCATTTGCTCCTGTTGTGCAGAATATTTATATTATTATGCCTTGTGTGGCTCTTTGTTTCCAATTAAATTGTCATTGGATGCCAGGAAGCTAGCCCGAAGGTGGGAAAATTCAAATGCCATTCGAGGAACTGTGAAGAGCAACACAGCATATTGGTGGTAAGCAATGGCAAATTTAAGTTCTAGATTTGGTTTGCCACTCTTCGTTAGGAGAGAGGGGCCACTCTCTCTCACGCACTGTTCTTCAGGTGGGTTTCATCTCTTTCTCTCTGTCTCCTCTCTGTGTGTGCAATGCCATATCTAATGTTCTAGTATTGTATATTAAATTGAGTTGTTTACTGGAAAGAGCAGCAACCAAGTTTCTGCAAAACCAAAACACAGGAAGAAGAAGAAGAAGAAGAAAGCTAAAAAATCATGGAATAGAAGAAGTTCAATCTACTGCCAAGAAGCAGCGAATCGCATCCCACACTCACATTAAGGCCTGGCTTGAGGTCCTTTTTCCTTCTCTCTCTCTGCCTCATAAATATTAAGAAATTGTTCTAATTCCCGCTGCTTTCAACTGTAATTGCTCTCTTTGCTGTTAAAGCTTCAAACTTATTTTTCTCTAGGTTTAGGGTTTATGCTGTGTACAGAATTTTATTTTCGTTTTTGTTTCTAGGTATCCATGTTTTGGTGTTTGACTTCACACTGGCTTTGGGTTGTGTTGTGATATCTGTTTTGTTATCAATTACATTCAGGAAATTGGCTTGTGTTATTATATTTTTATTCATGTTTTCTAAAGTTTCTAGAATTTGGGTAAAGCATAAGGTTTTAGTATAATTGAAGTGTTAAACATAAGAATGTTGACAGGTTTGTAATGCTAATTACTTTGAGTTGACATATATCAATTTTAAAAGGTCACCTTTGGTTTATCTCTTTATTTGATAGTAATGGTTCACTAGACTGTCTACATGGACTAATGATAGGCCTCCTATACATAAGGTCTACAAGCTTAAGGGACGCAAAAGGCATTATGGGCAGTCAGCTAAAAGCTTAGGGACGCAAAAGGCATTAGGGCAGGTAGTTAAAAGATATTGTCCATGTGGCTGTGTGTAGAATTGGGTGTAAGAATGTGTGAATGGGGTATTTTGTGAGATACTTAGTATATATTGTTAAGATTAGGCTGAGAGAAGGTTAAGCATTCTTTTAGAGATAACCAATGGAGGTCCCTACCTCCTCGAAATGCTAGGATCTATCTGCTACTATTTTGTTCCATTTCTGATCTGTTAATTTCCAGTTTTCTTGATTAATACAAATATTGAGGTTTATCAAAGAATTGTTGTCTCTAGTCATCTGTTCTTGTGTGTGGTTTGGATATTGGACTGATTTGAGGGTGATCGTATCAAATATGCTGCCACAAGAGAGTTGGTTCAATTTTATTGACCGGGCTGGGAAAGTCTGAGGCCTTCTTCTGCCGAGATACGTGTGGAGCGTGAATTTCTTTCATGGTCACTTGGCCGATAACACAGTTATTCACATGGTTGTCCTTCAACCAACTGAATGGGGCTTACCATCTGTGTGCACATTTTTTTTATTTTAAGTTTGATTTAAATTAAAGGTTTTAATTTCGCAAAGATTTATCTTGGTAATTATGGATTAAATTAGGGCTTCCACAGGATTCTGTAAGGGCAATAACTTCTGGATTGCCTCTTTTCTCTATAGCATCTGCTCACTAGCTTCATGGAGTTTTTCAGGTTTGTTTAGTAATTATAATTAGATTTTAATCACAATATATATAGAGAAAAATTAAAAGAATTAACTTTCTAATTTAATTCAAATTGCTAAGACTTTTTAGCACTTTCCTTGAATACTAAAAATTCATTTAAATTTTCTATTATTTTATTATAAATTTAGGCTGTAAGTTTGGAGGTTCAAACATTGAGCAATTGCATGGGAAGATAAAGAAGTGCAGAGAATCAGATTCGCCAGGTAATTTTAATTCTTAATTATAATTAATTAAATTTCAATTATTATTATTACTCTAAGTGAGAACTGGAAGTCGAAGGAGAATAATTAACAAATAACTAATAATGATTATATATATAGACTACTTTTATTTTAATTCTTAGGGTCAATTTTGTTTACTTGTAATTAATTCACAAAGTGTTCTTTTATTCATAATATTGATTGGAAAAAAAAAAAAAAAGAATAAAAAAACTAGATATGCAGGGTGACTTTGATAATATTACCAAATCGATATTGTTAATTGAGATAGTATTCGACCGACATCTAAAAAATCTTTGCTATATTTTAAAGAGAAATGCGAAAAACACTTTGCTCTTTGCTCTATTCTCTTTTGTATGTGTTAAAAAGTGAGTGAGAAAGTGAAAAAGTCAATTTTATGTTTACTATTTTTCGGATGGAGTCACACATAGGTTCACTTTTAATTATTGATCTTATGATATTATTAAACTGTTAATGGTATATGGAAATTTACTACTGAGATTTATTATTATTATTATTTTTTTTTTTTTGGAATATACAATTAATTAATGTTTCAATTGGATATGTTCAAAGAGGAGGAAATGTAAAGGGAGAAAAAACGATTATATCCTTGACTTAACATTAGCTATAAAAATGTCAAAAAACTGGGAACATAAATTTACTTTTACTTAAAAGATTATATGGACCTTGAAGATCATATATACTACTACAAACTGCAATATTATTGTTTGGAAATTATAATACGGAAGTTAGAAAACTTTTCAGGTATCAAATTGTCTTTATGGCAAACTATGTGTGGGTACATGTTGTTCTACCTTTCTTTCAAACTCAAGGTCATGAGCCCAACCCACTTATAAAAACCCACCCAAACGCACAACGCATCCACATTTCCACCGAGCTTAAAATTCCACCGAGCTTAAAAAAAAAAAAAAAAAAAAAAAAAAAAAGAAGGCTTTCTATCCAGGTAGTTGTCTTTGATCTCTCTTTCGATTTCTTTCTCATTCCATAGCTCTCCCGTCCGGCGGCCATATCACTTGGCCAATGTGCTCGATCGTGGCGGCAACATTTATAATATGTAATTTCACAAGGGTGGGCGACTCTCCTTTGAAGACATATGTGATAAGCACTTCAATAAACCATCGTTCTCCTCCCTTTCTAGGATTATGGTAACAAAATCAAAATAGGCTTGAAAGTACTAGAAAGGGGTTGAAGAAAATGATTTGACCAATGGCCTAAAGCAACATAGATGGAAAACCTTCATCAGGAATTGTACCATTTAGCTTCCACTTAAGAAAGGGAGAGAGAGAAGAAGGTTGCACACTATGTGACAACTTGCAAGGTTCTGCATCAACTATTTTCAACTTGCGGAGATTCACTCAGATATAATTACCGAGGTTTTCTCCCCTGGTTGTTTTGCTCTATATGAAACAATATTACAACCATTCAACATAATGAATAAATTAAAAAGAAGAAGAAAAGAACATAGGCTTTAAATTAGAAATAAACTTAACAAATAAGAGGAAAAGATCTAAAAATTTATAAATGTCAATAAATAGACTGCTCTAGCAATTATGACTGATCTCACCCATAAATACTCCAAACAAGAAATTCATGTATTTAACAACATTCTCGTAAATTTACTTTAATGATATTNGCTGTTGGAGATGTTATATATATTGAGGCGAATAGTGGCGCAGTCAAAAGGGTGGGAAGGAGTGATGCTTTTGCTACCGAATTTGACCTTGAAGCAGAAGAGTATGTTCCACTTCCTAAAGGGGAAGTTCACAAAAAGAAAGAGATAGACCAGGTTTGTCTCATGTGAATTGTGGCTTCTTTGTGCACGTTTGTTGATATCACTCATGATGTTTTATTTTATGATGATAGTTATGTTGGATGTTAAAAGACATCAGTTTATGTGTTCTAACTTTTAAATAATGAAAGTGCTTTTTTGTCTTTCTGATTGCTATACTATCAACAATGCTATCTTCTTTTTCAAGTTGACAATTGATTGGCCCTAAGGTGCTCTGTCCTTTCACACAACTCATGTTTCTGTGAAGAATATTTGATCCAAGTAAACTAACTCATTTGATACATAGTTTCTTGTTCTGGAGATTTCTGGCCCATAACTTTTTTCACTGAACATTAGACTTGCAATATTTTGTTTTTGGGCCTGACGGCTGTAATCTTCCATAAAAATTAGCTATGACTTTGATGCCTTTATGACTTCCTGATGGGCATTACACCTATGAGGAAATTAATTTTATGTCATGGTGAATTGTCTATTTTCTTATATCAGGATCTAACATTTCATTATCTGGATGCTGCAAATGCGAGGCCTCAAGGTGGGCAAGATATATTGTCTTTAATGGGTCAGATGATGAAGCCGAGGAAAACAGAAATTACTGAAAAACTACATCAAGAAATAAATAAGGTTCTACTTTGAATCCTCTTTGTTTTGTCATTTACCAGAAAAGCACTTGATATGCCTTTCCATGACCTCAATAATTGCATTGAAATAATAATAATAATAATAAGGATGACAGTCTGCAATGGTCTATAATCTCAACTGTCGCAATTCTAAGTTTTACTTGTAAATGTAATGCTTTGACCGAAAATTTTCACCGATGCCAGGTTGTTAATCACTAATCAGTATATTGATGAAGTTCTGGCAGAGCTTGTCCCTGGAGTTCTATTCATTCGTGAGGTTCTCTCCTAAACCCATTTTGTTTCTATATATATATATATATATATATATGTGTGTGTGTGTGTGTGTGTGTGTGTGTGTGTGTGTGTTCAGATTTGTTGTATGTTTCTTATGTTACAATCTGCAGGTTCATATGCTGGACATGGAGTGCTTTTCATACTTGATTCGTGCTTTAGAGAGCTCACTATCTCCAATCGTAATCCTTGCTACAAATAGAGGAATATGTAACGTATGGTATGATACCTCTTGTGCTGATATTGAAAATGTTAGAATAGTTGTTCCAACCTTTTCTTAAATCACAGTTTGTTCAGATTGTACCTAATACAGGTTACATTAAGTAGTCTTTCCTGTTTTATTTTGTCACCGGTTAGATCCCTGTTACATGTGTCTTGCCTATACTTGTGTTCATGTAGGTTCTTTCAAATAGTTCATTTGAATTCCGTTCCAATTGGTCGCTTTATTACACAGGCTGTTGTCTTTGTTTCCATTCGTATATGCGAAAAGCTGGCAAATAATTGTGGTACTTTTCAGCTACTAAGTTATGATACGACAGATCTGTGGCTAATACCTAGTGCTCAGCCTGAGTTTTGTTTTATTGCTATTTGGAGATTGGAATTTGCGTTTCTTGATTTCCCTGTATATAATCATATATTCAATAACTAACAAGAAGGTTGGCTTCACCAAGTAGAAATAGAAGGTGCTTGATTAATTGTCTGGTCAGTAATATAGACATCTGTTGAGGCCAGTATGCTCGTTTGGAAACTTTACTACTTGAAATTTGTAGGGTCATTTGATATTAGAACTAGAAAGATACTTGAGGATGAATAAAATTTTGGGACTTGAAAAGAACAACGAAATTTGAAATCATAGGAAGCATTAACTTGACTAATGCATCATTTGGATATACTGGCCGATTACAGTACGAAATTATTGTAATCTTTGACTTTCCTTATAATCTTTAATACCTTCCACTCTACGATATGACTCAAATAATTGTCCAAACCAAATCTCACTCGATCTACGAGTCAAACACGCAACGAAAGCGCGCGTGTGGAGTGATAAGAAAAAGAAAAAAATAATGAACAAATACATCCTAGAAAAGGACTCCCTTTCAGTCTAAATAACTATTGGGAAAGACGAAATGCTAATCGAAAGCCGATAAAGAAACCAGGCTTTGGCAAAAAAAAAAAAAGTCAAAAAGTTGTGACAGTACAAGCCCAAAAGGAATCCTCCACTTCAGCGATGGTCAAGGGAAGGGAGAGCCTCATTCACACCAACCTCCACAACTTGGTCCAGCCGAGATTCCTAGACTGACCCAAATCAAAGAGCTGCTCCATAAAGGCCCATAAATCTTTTTGCTTCTTCTTCATTAAAAGCCCAGGGAAATCAATAAAATAATCAGACGAAAAGAATAGTCACAGCAGCTTAGCAAAGTGATGAAGAATGCAGCAGCTGTGAAAGAGAAGAAGAAAAGCTTTTGCGAAGCTGTTAAGTTCGGTAAACTGCTAATGCAAACAGAACTTTGTTAATATTAACAGAAGCTGAAGTTGAGCATTTTGTGAAAGAATAAAACGCAGAGTTTTAATCTTTGCTATATTGCTGCTGTTCAACAGAGAAGAGAAGAAGCTGAAGCATAGCTAAAATAGCATTTTTGATCCTCAAATTTCGTGTTTTCTGCTGTTGTTCCAGTTGAAGTTGTGTTTGTTGACCTAGCACATCCTGCGGATTGCCAGCATGTCAACTACACCTTGTGTATAAACAAATGAACTTTCATTCTTCTGATTAATGAAAATTAATTAGTTACAAAATTCTTGGAATTCTGTTCTTATTCTTGAAAGCTCCTTTTTCTCTCAATCCCTTTAAATATGAAAAATAAAGAAAGCAATAAGACAATCACACGCACATAACAACACCAAATTTACGTGGTTCGGCAAATCATGCCTACATCCACGGGCTGTGAGTCAAATGACTAAAATAGAGGATAATAGTACAAGTCTAATAGACTCATGTTAAATCTAAACCCAAAACCGTTCTCTCATATTTCTTTCTAACACTCTCCCACTTAATGCACTCAAATCCCAGAAAGTGAAAATTTTCACAATAGTCTTTTGGCTCTAATTAAATAAACAAGAACTCACAAAGAACACTCACTCTTCACCTATACATTTTCTTAACATCACCATTCACTAGCCTATATCTAATCAAAGAAAAAGAGGAAATGAATATATTGATTTTCTTTGGATGCAGAAACCGTCTCAATTCCGGTGCTTAAATTGCCGCCCCGCCACTACACTTTTTCAGCCTTCACATTCCTTATCATCACAATAAGTTCACAATACCATGGTGAATGAATGGATCCGAAGGTTTGCGCCCTTTAAGCCTCTTCAGACTTTTGAATCATTTCAAGGGAAAAAAGGCTTCCCATCCCTTTCTTGCAACAAGCTGTGAATTATTAAAGGACAGACATCAATATTTGGATTTCAACTAGGCAAAGCAACAACCAAAAATGCAAATTTAAGAACATTTCAGTAAGAAATTACTTAAGGGATGTGAAACTGTGCAGTTCATTTGATAAGGACTTGAGATTATCATATCAAGTGAGCCTTCTCTGGCAAAAGATTCAAGCAGAGAACCCTTCTTGATGATCTTTCAAGAGACGCAATACTGGAGAATTTTGCACTCTTTGATCCTGCAGAAACGCATTGAGCTTTTCGTCTCAAAACGCATAAGAATTTCTTATCCAATTGGAAAGCTCATACCAACATAGGAACTAAGATCTCAGAAGTACTGCGAAACATTTTCTGATCAACACTGCTTTGATCACTCCATTCATAGGATTCACCTGGACATTATTATAAAAAAAAAAAAATTATGTAGCAATGCTCTCCCAGAAAAAAGGCAATGATTTTGGGAAAACATAAACAGAGAAAGTATATCTTAGATGCTTATATTAAGCGAGTTGTTCTGCCTCAGCAAGGAGATATAGAGGTCCATTACTTGGTTTGCTGACATTATTTCTTCTTTTAACAAATGAAATAAGACATCAAACTAACAGTGACAACTCATGAAAACTGACAAATAGCATGCAATGAAGGAAATATTAAATATAAGGCAATCTCTTTTTTATATATAAGGAATTTAAAAAACAAATAAATAATGAAGTAGAAGATGTAGATTATTAACCTTTTTACATGGATAATGAACTCTTTTTGAAAAACAGTAATTTTACTGGCTTCCAGCCTTCCAATTGTTGCAGAGAGTTACTTTCTGTACAAAGCAGTCACCATGAAAGCTATAATACAACGTTAAACTATTAAAAATTTCTGTCAAATTAAAATTGTAAAATCATAATGGAAAAGAAATTGTTTCATACATTACACATTTGTAGACAGAAGAATCCACTATCATCTTCCTCTTTACTAAAAGATGATCTTGTGAATCAAAGACAGAGATGATCTGGGATTACACTTTAGTAAAAGACAAAGAATTTCTAATCCAAGTTGGAAATGTCACACCATAATAGGAATGGATCACAAGCGTACTGCAACATTTTTAGATTGGCAAACATTGCTTTAATCCCTCCATTTATAGGAAATACTTACCTTGAACATTAATATATACAAATCATGTATAAATGTTGTCCAAGAAAAAAGGCAATGATTTTAGAGAACGTAAAATATAAGGAGAAAGACTGTCTCACATACTTTATTAAGAGAGTTGTAGTGCCTCAGCAATGATATGTAGAGGTCCATTACTTGGTTTTACACTCATCGTTTCCTTTAAAAAATGAATAAGACAACAGATTAACCAAATTTAAGAAAGGTCTTATTTGCAAGCTTGGACTAACAAAATGTAAGACTAAAAAATAAAAATAATGAACATTATTAACCTTTTTACATGAATTCTGACCTCTTTTTGAAAAATAGAATTTTACTGGCTTTCAGCTTTCCAATCAATGCAGAGAGTTACTTTATGTACAGAGCACACCAAAAAAGCAAGAATACAACGTTAAACTACTATTGAAAGTTGTCAGATCAAAATTTTAAAGTCATAGCAGGAAAGTTACTTCATACATTACACATATGTAGACAGGAGAATCCACTGCCATCATCCTCTTCATTTATACCAGATGAACTACCTTAAGGGCTAAGTCAGTCTTGTGCTGATGAGGGCAGCTTGATCCTGCGAATCAAAGATGATCTAGGATTACCATTTACTAAGAGTTTAAATATAAAAAGTATGTCAAATATGCCTACATGCAGCTGGATAAGGAAAATTTTATGATATTGCAATCGCAATCTGATTTCATTTTACCTCAACAAAGAATCTCAAATCTGGCAACCATAGATTGTAAAGGAACTTTTGCATATATTATCTATATAAATCAGTGATTGAAAATATCGGAATTTGTGTTGAAGACTTTCTTTTGGTTACCTTTCACCCACAAGAGTTGAAGAAACTAATGACCTCAAAAAGATACTGTATAAAAACTTCTAATTTCAAGTATTCGTGTATCAAAATGTTCTACTCCACCACTGGATTGAAAACAATTTACATGTTTGAAATCGACAAACCTGTAATTGGAATGAGATGATTCTCTAGTTGGTTTTGTATTTTGGGATCTAAAAAGACTCAGATTCTTCCAGTAAATGTTACTTCTCTAAGTGGTAGAACCATATCTCATCTGAAACACAGACAAATGAGGAAATTGATTCAAATTATATCTCTAATTTAAATTTCTTTTAGTTACCTTACACCTCAAAATTGAAGAATGTACTCCAGATTTGAGATTTCAGCTATCTACTTGCTTCATCCTGAAAAATATATATTGATTAAATTTAGTGAACCAAACAAAATAAAACAAGTGACAAACAAATTGCAGTACAAGGTGTTGAACAAAAAACAATTTTAGGAAACTTCGAAGTAAAGGCGGAAGATAAAAGAAAATAGTGTAAGAAAATGACCAACCTCGGTTAAAGTAAGATGATTCTCTGATTGGATTTTGTGAAATCAAATAGCCATGCTCATTCTTGCTACTCTTCCTCCTTTGAATTGAAGATTAAGTTTCCATCCATGTGAACTTTAGGGACGTGAGCAATCTTTGAGCAGTATTTTCCTCTACCCCTTTTCCATCGTCTTTTTAACAATGGACAATGGTCAATACGTAAATCCAGAAGTGAGGGTGGCATGCTTTGCAATGATTTGAGCTTTGGGCATTTCTGAATGCACAAAGACTCAAGAGAGGTGAGGCTTCCCAGATCTGGAATGGATTTGAGCTTTGGGCATTCATCAATGGACAAAGATTCAAGAGAGGTGAGGCTTCCCAACTCTAGAATGGATTCAAGGTTTTCGCAATTCTTAATCTTCAAACTATTAAGAGAGGCAAGGCTTCCCAGGTCTGGAATGGATTCAAGGTTTGGGCAACCATTGATCTCCAAACTTTCAAGAGAGATGAGGCAACTCAAGTCTTGAATGGTTTTTAGCTCTCGAAAATTGTTAATTGCCAGCCATTTAAGAGAGGTGAGGCTTTGAAGACCCAAAGTAGATAGAGAAGTTAGAGAGGAGGTCGTTCCCATGCTCTCTTGAGAAATTGGCCCTGAATCATCACATCCAGTAATACGAAGTTCTCTAAGAGAGGTGAGGTTGTGCAATCCCCCCTCTATTAGTGACTTACAGATTTTGGAACCTCTTTGAACAAGGAGCTCTGTTAGGTTGATTGGAACACCTTCTTCTGCAAACAATATTGGACAATTCCCTACACTTAAAAATTGAAGAGAGTTTGGAAATTTGAAGGATATTTCCATATTTGGACAATCCCATATCATAATCATCTCAAGACATGTAAGATTTTGTAGGTCTGAAGATACCGATTTAAGTTGATCACACAGCGAAAACATAATCATTTTGAGACACGTGCTATTTTCAAATGTCTCTATTATTGACTCTAGCTTTGAACAAGAGTCAATAAGGAGGCGTTCAAGTGCCTTAGGAAAACACTGCTGTCTAGATGATAGCGTTGTGAGCTCTTGACATCTTTCAATCCAAAGTCGTTTGAGTGTGTCAGGCAAACAACCATTTGATGATATGCACGTGAGAGATGGACAGTCATGAATGTCCAAGTACTCCAAACGAGTAGTACTCAAATCCTCCAAATGTTCCAATTGCTTACAATTTTGAATCTTAATTTTTTTCAAATATAAAGTTAGTATACCTCTTTCAAAGACTGTTAGAGAATCACAATCTTTAATTACAAGCCTTTCTAGATTTTTTTGCTTCAATCCTTCATGCAAAGATTTTAGAGCCTCCCAATTACTAATCGTCAAAGAACTCAGATTGGGAAGAAAATCGATCTCTGGAAACAAAACAAGACTTGTACAGTTTACAAAAGACAACTCTTTAAGGGATGTAAGGCTATGAATACCATGAAGTGGCTTACCAACACAACTCAAATTTTGCCACGAATTTGTGAGCTCTTCACAGCAAACAATCTTTGAAATTTTTTGAAATCCTTGCTTTATCCAATTTCCAAACTTTGGAGTGCTTGAAAGAGCCATAGGATTTAAAGACTGGAATTCTGTAGATATAGTACTACGACACACCACTTCCTTGCAGTCATTAATTTCTATTTTGCATAGCGATGGAACACTTGAAATTGAAGCCTTCAACTCTGAACACTTTTGAATAAAAAGCCTTTCCAATGAAGGAAGACTGTTAGGTAATTCTCCAGCAAGTTTCGGACATTTTATAATGGAAAGCTTTCGGAGAAGAGGGAATTTTTCAACATCTTCATTTTTTTTCTTATTGTTCCAATACCTCCATTCTTGCAGATTTTGTAAATGAAGAACCTCTAATGACTTGAAAGGCATCTCAAAATCTATTTTTTCTAGTTTCCCCATCCCTTGAATGGCCAGGTCTTTAAGTGAGCTCAACATCCAGATTGAAGGCAAACTTCCACTGTTGTTACAATTTTCTAATTTAAGGATTGTCATATTGGAGAGCGATGACGAATCTCCTAACCAAGATGGAAAACATGCACCACCATAGCACTTGATTACAAGTTCTTTCAAATTGCTATGAGGTTTTAGCATCTCAAGAACATGTCTTTCTACTTCCTCATTCGGTGAGCCATCGGATTGAGATCCCCATTCCAGCAACAATATTTCTAAATCTTTCATATTTTTTAGTACGGGCTCTCTTATTTGGTTTTGATGACTAAGGTTCTCTAATTTTGAAATGTGAAGCTCTCTTTGAAGAAATTTTAAATTCCTCAAATCATTCAAATTGAAATTCTTCCCTTTTACCACAATAAAATTAGACAACATTCGGAGATTTATCAACTCTTTCATCCCAGACGGCATCCCTTTTAATGACTTTGCACCTTTAATATCAAGATGACATAAATTGGTCAAATGTCTCATCTTGGAAGGTAACTTCAAAAGACGAGAACAATCTTTTAGTAGCAAAGTTTGCAAGTTAAGTAATGAGCTTGTTGACTCAGGCAAACTTTTGACCATAGTGTTAGACAAATTGAGATACTTTAGATGTATCAAGCCTCCAATTGAATTTGGTAAACATGTAATGTGGTATCTTTCTAAGGAGAGCACTCTTAACTTCTTCAAATGCGGCAATAAATTAAAAATAACTGTAGCATCTATGTAGCTGTGGCCATACCGCCAATAAGGACTCATAAATACTGGAAAGAATGTTCTTAGACTTTTCAATTTTTGCAAGTCCTTGAACGTACTTTTTCCATCATAACGTTTAGAAATATAAGAAAAATGACGAGTCCTTTCAAATTTTTTTGGTACCATAGAATTGACTTCCTCAAATCGATAGCCAATTTCTCCAAAAATTGATTGTGCTAGATCATGAACAAGGTCATGCATTACGTACTTAGAACTATTGCTACTTGATTGTTCAAAAAGTGACCTCGAACATAAATGAAGAAAATACTCACCAGCCAAATTCAGGTGCTCATCTGATTGTTGAATAATGCCTTCTCCCATCCACAAAAGCTCAAGTTCTTTCTTATCGAACTCGTAATCTTTAGGAAAAATTGCGCAATAAGCAAAACATCTTTTAAGATGTGGAGGAAGATGACGGTAACTTAACCTTAACACGGGAAGGATGTCATTTCCGTTAGATGAATCCCATACTCTGCTGTTTAATATATTCTCCCATGCATCAACTTTCGGCTCATAGTGTAGAAGACCACCCAGAGTCTTTGCTGCCAAGGGCAATCCTCCACACTTTTTAACAACACGTTCACGAAATTTTCCAAGAGCGTTACTATCCATACCAGTCGAAGGTGCATGCTTCATAAACAAATTCCAACATTCATCATCTGAAAGAGTCTTTAATTTATGAGTTTCAGAGGATCTCATTGTTACTGCAACTCTTTCATTGCGTGTAGTCACAATTATTTTACTTCCCCGTGCACTATCTTTGAATGGAGACTTGAAGGTTTCCCACAAACTCTCTGTTTCATTCCAAACGTCATCTAAGACCAGCAGGAATTTTCTTCCACGTATTTGCTTTTTCAACTCATCTTGCACTTCATTCAAACTATTTAGATTGGGGGGTGGGCGAATTATTGACTCGAGAACTGACTTCGAGATTCTCATGACATCAAAATCGTCTGAGACAGAAACCCATGCTTTTTCCTCGAACTTGAGATGATCCAATTCCTTGTCATTGTACACCTCCCGAGCAAGTGTTGTTTTGCCGAGTCCTCCCATGCCCACAATTGCTATCACACCAAAGTTGGCATCAATTGGTTTATCACTTGACACCATCTTAATTATTTCTTTTTTGTCTTCACCTCTCCCATAAACAGCTTCTTCAGTTGGCAGACTGGAAGTGGGTGGTCTTGGATCTACTGCTTGTTGGGTAGATGCAGCAGTACTTGATGTCCCTCCAGAAGTCTCATGCATCAATCCAAGTTCAACTCTTTCTTTATGGAGCTCTTCGAATCTGCCATTGATATCTTTCATCTTGGACCGCATACTGACATCAAACTTCATAGCGCGAGGAGTGAAATTATTGAAACAAGAAGGGGTATCAATGGAGTTCTGACGTGAAACTTCATAGGAGAACTCTTCCAGTAAATCCTCTACATCATAAGCCAAGTCTTGGAGATCATCGAGCCACAGTTTCACAGCCTTGTTGGTCAGTTGCTTCTCTTCCGCAGAGCTGAGCACCGCCTCAATCTTCAATAACTTCCGTTCCCACTTTTTTAGCTTCGAACGAACCCCTTTTACACTTGCAAAATAATTGAACAACTCAGGGGACGACAATTTTTCAAACAACAAAGGAAGGATTGCAGAGATAAGTTCAGCCATGGTTTTGGTAATCAAGATTCAAAAGAAAAGACGTGAAGGATTTGAGTTTGAGAGCAAAGCAAATAGAAACAGGTTAGTTTTTGTGTAGGGATACAAGGAACTTGAACTCAAGATACAAGAAAGGTACAGGCCTTTGTAAATTCTATTTCACTTTCCAATTTTACTGGATATAAGTTTTACTGTTTACAAACCGCATCTACAAAAGTCACTTGTCCAAGATCTAAGTCACTTCTATTTATTGAAATATATTCTGTAATCAATGAATTTATTTTACTTATGAATTTTTTTTCTTTTTTATCCATCTTTACATAGAATATGATTACTGATTAGTAGTTTTTAGATTTAATGTTACACATATTGACTTGTAGTAGCTGGTACTATATCATTCGTACACACTCCACCTGCCAAATAGAAGCTCAAACTCAAGATATAACAAGTCACAGGACTTTGGTAGCTACAACAATTTTACTAATTTGTGTGACCTTTCATAATAACCTTTAATTTCTAACTTTATGTGTTAATAATTTCTTTTTCCCTATTGTGAATTTTAAATATTACACTAATAAAATCTTGTCACAAAGAATTGAATATAAAGTAATGTGACATTATTCTTTAAATTACACATATGTTAATGAATTGTCTTTGTATATTCACTCTAATATTTATATTTTGTCATATCATTTTATTCATTTTAAATGTTGTCATTAGTATTGTCAATTGTGTACTGATTGAGTCAGCATGACTCTTTTTGTGGAATGACAAAATCCAAAGTTATCCTTCCTTTTATTGCAAGTCGGTAACTTGGTATGGCAATGAACATGTTCTCTTTAATACATTTCTAAGAAATTTCCTTGCAATTCACCTATAATTTCAGCAAATTAAGTTAATTTGTTGAAGAAGTTGGTATGGCATCATCGATCACTTGGCTTCAATACTTATGCAGGGTATATTTCTTTTGATTTAAACTTTTACTTTATCTTTTTCCATTTAAAGCTTTTGTAATTTAAAATATGACACGAATAAAGATGATCGTTGGATATGGAGATCACAGAGAAAAAATATATAACTATCCCTTACAAAGATAAAATTTATAAGCCTTCTAACTACTAATTAATTGATGAACGTAACTCAAAGAAATGAATAAATAGTTAGCAATTCATAGAGGCTAAGCTAATTCAAGTTATCTCCATTATTATTATAACATATTAAATCCCACAAGTTTTCGAACATTTCCTTTTGCTTAGATAACAAGGAAAAATGATTTGAGATATGGCCTGTCTAACAAGTTCTTTTTGCTGTAAAGCAACTAATTTATTCTTGCTTTAATATTCAGTGACTTGGGCTAAACATACAACATTTCTTTACTTTTCCTTTATATTATACTTCTTCCTAAACTTTGCCTTACTTCTAGCTCAAATAACAAATAAAGCAACTAATTTAGCATCTCTTTAATTGCACATAGTGTAGTGAAAAGATAAAGGCAGTTTTCGACTTTCATTTATGGTCTCCTCTAGGCTTTATATATTGACAATGGATGAGTATGAGAGCAAAGCAAGCACAAAATGGTTAATTTTTGTGTAAGAATGCTGAAACTTGGATCCAAGATACAAGAAAGACACAGGCTTTGGTAGCTACAATTACTATAATAATTTACTATTTTTTTTTTTTTTGTAATAATTTAGTATTTTAGTGTTAATCATATTATTATAAGTGTTTTGTATTATATTTATATAGTTTAATAAATTAGATTCATTTACTTTAGTAAGGATAATTGATTAAATGAAGTAATGTTGTAATTAAAATTTAGTAATATGAATTAACAGTTAAAACAAATTAATCAGAATTGAGAATTTTTTTATTAAAATGACAAATAATAATAATAATAATAATAATAATAATAATAATAATAATTGTTTATTTCAAATATTTTTTTTGTTTGATGAAAATATATAATGATAACATTACAGAAAAGGTAATCACATAACGAGATGAATTTAAATATGAAGAAGAAAAAAAAGTTTCTAATTTGAAATTAGGAAATTAGCAAAAAGGGGTGTAAACGAGAAACCAAATTAATTTTAAGATTGGGGAAAGACATGTGTAAAATTAAAAATCTAATTAAGTTAGAAATTGGGGAAAATAAACCTAATTAAGTAGATAGGAATAATTCGGTATTAGATGAGGTTTAAATAAATTTTTTTTTTTTTAAAATTACAGAAGAGGTATAATTAGCAACCAGGGATAATGATCAATTAAATGGAGAAAAAAAAAAATACTTCCCTATTTTTTAAATATTTTTTGAAGGCACAATAGTAGCTTTTGATAAGCATGAGGTTTTTTTGTCGTTCAACCTAGTTTTTGTTTTTTTGGGTCTATTGATAAACAGTGTTGTTATTTGAGTTCACCTATACTCTAATTGAGCCCCCTTATTAATTTTTATAAAGTTTAAAAGTATATTGTATATACAAAATTACCAAAATATATTATTTATATAAATAACTCTTAAATTACTTTTCCAGTTTTTTGAAACTTTTTAATATGTAGAATTCTAAGATAAGAATCTATTTATCTTAAACATTCAGTGAACTTTATAGAATTTCTAAGAAATTCTTTCAAATTGATCACCTTTGTCTAAGACTTTTGGCTCAGGTAAACCACTTAAAAATATATTGTTATGGATATTCACAAGTGCTTCTATACCACCCATTTATTTTTCAAGGAGTAATCAAGTAAAAAAAAAAAAAAAATAGTTATAATGATGATTTTTTTTGTAATGAAATTTTATAACCATTTATACTTTAGATGCATCCGCTTGTACTATTATCTGTAGTTTGTCATTCCCCATTAAATCTAACATATATAAAAGAAACCATCCATGTTTAGTTCCATATATGAAGAGAAAAGTGAAAATAATTAAAAATTCAAATGATAAAAATAATAAAATATATAAATTTTATATAAATACTTATATATTGGGTATGAAAGGGAAAATGTTAGGCCCATTAAGTCACATATAACCCATAACAGTAGAATTGAGTCCAAACAACTTATTCTAAGCCCAAATGAATACTTAAACTAAACATTAAAATAATTTCCAAAATACAATAAATTTGTGCACAGTGCACCCATTAATGCTAGGAAGAATGGGCAAGGTTTACCTTGAACCAAAAAATTGCATGACAATTATAAACAGATTAAGTCCAAAATGTGATTTTCAAGCATTTAAAATTAGGTTAAAGACAATATTGTACCGCAGTTTACCATAAACACCAAATCAATATATGAAGTAGTGTATCTATGCCCCCTCTTTGGTTTTGGAGACAAAAAATAAAAAATTTATACGAGATAATATCGCATTATTTATGTATGAATAATACTAATCTTATAAAGAGCCATACAAAGAGGTATATAAAAAAGCAATCATAAATTTTAAGAGTTGGATTTATCTCTTTATATGGTTAATATTACTCATTTATGTATTCACCTACTATGATAGGTGAAACTAAAACCAAAACACCTTCTTCATAGACGAAATGAATTTTTCTTTATTAGAACGAGACATGGTATTTATATGTTTATTCAATCAAATTCGTAAACTTATCCTACGTAAAAATTTCATGAGAAAATTTATATATTATTAAAAAAAAAAATGAAACAAAAGATACAATAAAGCCTGGATAAAATTATTGTATGAATTAATTTGTCTGTCTACCCAATACTGAATATAAAACCAAAAATTGACTAAGTATCGAGATCGTCACATATAAGTTTTTCTACTTGAAGATAATAACACAAACATATCGGCATCATTTTATGTCTATCAAATAAAACCCGACCCGTTTCATATCAACGTCAACCTGAAATGTGACAGACTTGCTATAGAAAGTGATCAGTGGTCACATCACATCACAGTCTTCTCTCATCAAAACCCATCATCCTAATAAATTATTCTCCTTTTTATCTTTTTTAATGGCTTCTTCTTTATCTTCTATTCCGCTAATTCTCCCAGCCCACTTAAACACTCACTCTTCCCAGTGGGCCTTTCATCGCCATCCTCCGTTCAATCCGTCACCTTCTACGACTTTCTCGATCGCACGCGAAACCTAGCTTCCCTCGATCTCGTTCGATCCATCAAAAGGTTTCGATAAATCATTTCATTTAACTTTTTTTTTTTTTGGTTGAATTTTTGAATTTGTGTTTGTTTATTATTATTATTTTGTTTAATTTAGTATATTTGTTTGATTGTGTGTGGGATGGGGTCGGTACCGTTGAGGCAATGTTACCGTGCTGATGCTTTGGATAGTGAGTAATGATGGTTTGTGGCTACACTACTGAAAATTTCCGAAACATAGATCGGTAACGATACCAGGTCTAGTACTGTGGGAAACCCTTGTTTGAGAGATGTTTTGCGGTAATGTCACTGGGCTGATACTTAGTGTACAATGTTTCGATAATTGTATGGAAAAAATTGTTTTTTTTTTTGGTTTCTAGAACAATGGTACACCAAAATGAAACATAGAAATGGTAACGTTACCAAACCCGACAATGTAGCAAGCCCCCATTTGAAAGATGTTTTGTAGTAACATTACTAAGTTCATGTTTTGGTGACAATGCTTTAATAATTGCACTGAAAAAAAAATGGTTTTGGGATACTAAATCATGAGTACTCCTAACCATAATTTAGGTGCAGTCACATTACAGGGTCCAGTATCGGAGGAGACCCTGTGGTAACGTTACTAAACTGATATTTTGTGTAAATAAATGGTATTAGGGAGATTGTTTTTGAATACTGAAATAATGTTATATGTAGTAACGAAAACATAGGTAGAGTAATATTGATAGACTCAATACTGTTGCATCGTTGCAAACTTGCTTCATGTGATTTAGGTTTGGTTTATCTAAGTGGGGATCGTATGTTTATTTCAGCTTCATAGTTTCGCTTTTGTTTTATACTGCAAATCTTGAGAATGATGGGAAGAGAGTTATCTAAGTGGCACTGCACCTATAAAGAGTTTCTGTTGTTCTAATCTTGTTAAATTAGAATCCTCAAAACATAGAGAAATACTACCATCCTTTAAAACAGGGGAATTATGTAAAATTTACTACTTGATGAGATGTTATCCATAACTCGGATGAGCCACAATTTATCAATTTTTCAGTCACTTGCCAGGATTGAATCATAATTGTATATATGGTTTAGGAATCAAATTTGAAATCCACATTTTACTGCATTAATAGAGCTTAAGTGCTAGTTAGGTGAAATATCACTCTGCTGTATTGGTAATGCTACTAATCACTTTGACTTCTATGGATTTCTAGTTCTAGCAGACACTGCAAGTTGCGAGAACATACACAACCTCGGTGACTGCAGAATGGGCTATGTCACTTCCCCTCAACTATCATGTTTTGCTAAAGAAAGCCAGAGCTGAGCTTAACCACCATGTTGGTCTAGACCATTTAGCAGAAGAACCTGATTTGGTCAAGTTGCCTTACCTCCTGTGCATAATCAATGAAACTCTTCGGCTGTTTCCAGCAGCACCATTTCTAGTGCCACATGAATCATCTGATTACTGCACAATTGGAGGGTACGATGTACCATCAACAACAATGTTGATTGTGAATGCATCGACCATTCATCGAGATGCCAAGGTGTGGGAGGACCCTGAAAGTTTCAGGCCAGAAAGATTTGAAGGATTGGAAGGTGAAGTTGAGGCATATAATTTCATACCCTTTGGTCAAGGAAGAAGATCCAGCCCTGGGGCTGGCCTTGCCAAAAGAGTGATGGGATTAGCATTAGCCACTTTAATTCAGTGTTTTGAGTGGGAGAGAATTAGTGAAGAGGAAGTGGACTTGATAGAAGGAACTGGTCTTACAATGCCTAAAGTCGAGCCATTAGAGGCCATGTGCAAAGCTCGCGAGTGCATGTTAAATGTGCTTTCAAAGCTTTGATTATTGCTTTTGTATCTTCTTATATATTTGTGGCTTCACAATGTTGCAGACTTCGTTTCCTATAATGGAACTTATGGGCTTAATCTAAAGTTTGCCAGTAACTAAGATATATTTTGGGAAATGGTTGAGGTCTTCCATTTCTTATAGTAATATTGGTAGAAAAATTTAATTAATGTTCACTGCACATCTTATCTCACTTCAATTCTAGTTTCGGTTCCTAAGTCCCAAGAATCGGTGCTGTGTGGGTTTGGTTCGGTTGCGAGGATTTAGATGGGATATCTAGACCTGCTCCCTCGTATTTGTGTCTTGGAGGAAGTCTTTGGAATTCGTAAGTTAAGTACCTAACTTTTAAGAGGTGTTTCATGGATACCCTCAGAGAAAAAAACAAAGAGACCCACAGGTTTTAAAATGAAATACTTATATTCTTATGGTTTCATAATAGAACATTTATATCCTTGTAATAGAATTATGTCTGTGAAAAATAAATATTTAATATTTGATCATGTGAGAAATGTCAGATATTAACTTCTTTTTATTATAGAAAAAAAAAAAAAAAAAGACATCTGACTCTAAATTAACTTTAAACAAAATGTCAGGGTGTAAGTGTTTTGTTTTGAAATCTATGAGTCTCTTTTACTTTCACTGAACCTAGGGGGTGTCCATGTTAATTTGAGGTTAGCCTTACCTAATAAAATTAAAAAGATGAAGGGTCACACCATCACACATCATCAAAACCAGATCTAACTTATAAGCTAACCCTCCACCTAATTTTACCCACACCTAATTACACCTCTGTGTTTCTTTACATTTTCCAAATAAATATTTTTATTTCATCCCTAAATAAAATAAATAGAAATTTTCAAAATCAAAATACGAATGAATGACAATTTCCTACCCAAGGTTTGTCATAATTACGTTTTCCCACCCATAAACTTTTAGAAAAACAATTTCCCATCTATCGTCAATCTCTGTCAATGGAATTTGTTACAAAACAAGGCTAAAGTTGAAAAAAAAAAAAAAATTATATTACCCTTTACTATTTGATTTTATAATTTTTAACTAGCTAAATAATATTTTCCCATCAAACTTAATAACATGTATTTTTCACCCTTAGTTTGGTTTATATTAATTTTAGGGTTAATAAATTTAAAAAAAAAAAAATTAAAAATAAAGTCAGTTATTAAAATAAAAAACTGGAAAAAAAATTAAAAAATTAGAAAAAAATAGTTGGCGAGTTAATAATGATTAATGTATAAAACTTGATTAATTAATTTGAGGCATACCCTTTTTTTTTTTTTTTTAAATAAAAATATAAGAACTGTGAAAGTGACACTACAATCCCTATCACTCTCTGTTAGTTATATATGATGATTAATGCTATGAACATAACAAAGCATTAATGACCTGTTATAATTGGTTGCAATAAATATTGCAATGACATAGCCATAGCTTACATGAAGGTATACTTTGTTCAGAAACTAGAACTCCGATAGAGGTAGTAAGATATGAAAAATAAGGAAGCCATAAAGATAATCACACAACACCAAATTTACGTGGTTCGGCAAAAACTTGCCTACATCCACGGATATCAATCAAATGACTAAAATAGAGAATGATAGTATAAGTCTAACACACTCACGTTATACCCAAACCCAAACCGGAAACCCGAAACCCATGTACACCCTTCTCTTATATATCTTTCAACTCTCTGCTACTTTATGCACACAAATCCCAAAAGTTGAAATTTTCTTCAATAATCTATGGCTCATATTATTTGACAATACCTTACAACTCACAACACTCACTCTTTACCCATAAAATTTCTTAACACCACCACCCACAAGCCTATATATAATCAGAGAAGAAGAGGATATCAACATTCTTTGGATGAAGAAACTGTCTCAAATCCAGTGCTTACATTGCTGTCAAGCCACTGCAGTTTTTTAGGCTTCTTATTCCTCTTATCCATCACAATAAGTTCACAGTGCCATGGCAAATGAATAGATTCTGTATCCTATAAAGGGACAACAACTTCCCTTGTCTTTCTTGCACCAAGCTGTGAATTATCATGGGACATACATCAATATTCTGGTTCCAATTAGGCAAAGCAACAACAAAATGTAAATTTTTAATAAGAAGTTCGTTTGTATGTACTTGAGATTATCTTGTCCAGTAAGCCTTCTCAGGAAAAGATTCAAGAAGAGAATGTCTCTTGATGATTTCCAAAAGTTCAAGAGATGCAATATTGGAGATTTTGCACTATTTGATCCTGCAGAAATGCAATGATCTTTTGTTAGAAAGATCTCAAAATGTACAAGAATTTCTGATATAAGTTGGAAAGCTCATACCAGCATCGAAACTATGATCTCAACTATATTGCAAAACATTTTCTGATCAACAATGCTTCAGTCACTCCATTCATATGATACACCTTGAACATTAATAAATACAGATTATGTAGAAAGGCAACGATTTTGGAAAACTATAAAAATAAGGCAAATAAGTAGAGAAAGAATATCTCAAGTGCTTACAAGATATAGAGGTCCATCACCTTAAGTTTGCTCTCATTCTTTTATCAAATGAATAAGACAACAAACTAACAAAGTGGCATAAACCATGAAAAGTGAGAATAGCAAGCATCTCTTTCTGTATATAACAAATTGAAAAAACAAATAAATAATGAAGAAGAAGATTATTAACCTTTTCACATGGATAATGGCTTCCAGCCTTCCAACCATTTCAGAGAGTTACTTTCAGTACAGAGTAATCACCAAGAAAGCTATAATGCAACGTTATACTATTAAAAAATGTTGTCAGATTAAAATTGTAAAATCATAACGGGAAAGAATTTGTTTCATACGTTACACATTTGTAGACAGAAGAATCCACCATCATCCTCATCTTCACTAAAAGATGATCCTGTGAATCAAAGACAAAGATGATCTGAGATTGAAATTCAGTAAAGGAGAAAGAATTTCTTATCCAAGTTGGAAATGTCATACCATCATAGGAATTGATCACAAGTCTACTGCAAAACATTTTCTGGTCGATAAACACAGCTTCACTCACTCCATTCATAGGATATATTCACCTTGAATATTATTAAATACAAATTATGTATAAATGTTGTCTAAGAAAAAAGGTAATGATTTTAGAGAATGTAAGAATAAGTCTACATCAGTGGTGAAAGACTGCCTCACAAGCTTTATTAAGCGAATTGTAGTGCCTCAACAAGGATATATTGAGGTCCATTACTTGGTTTTGCACTCATCATTTCTGCCTTTGAAAAATGGATAAGACAACAGAGTAACCAAATTTAAGAAAGGTCTTATTTGCAAGCCTGGACTAACAAAATTTAAGACTAAAAAATAAAAATAATGAAGATTATTAACCTTTTCACACGAATTCTAGCCTCTTTTTGAAAAATAGAATTTTACTAGCTTTCAGCTTTCCAATCTATGCAAAGAGTTACTTTATGTCCAGAGCACACCAACAAAGCAAGAATACAACGTTAAACTACTATCAAAAGTTGTCTGATCAAAATTGTAAAGTCATAGCGGGAAAGTTACTTCATACATTACACATATATAGATAGAAAAATCCACTGTCATCGTCCTCTTCGTTTATACCAGATGAACTACCTTAAGGGCTAAGTTATTCTTGCGCTGATGAGGGCAGCTTGATCCTGCGAATCAAAGATGATCTAGGATTACCATTTACTAAGAGTTTAAATATAAAAAGTATGTAAAATATGCCTAAATGCAGCTGGATAAGGAAAATTTTATGGCATTGCAATCACAGTCTGGTTTCATTTCACCTCAACAAAGAATCTCAAATCTGGCAACCATAGATTATGAAGGAACTTTTGCAAATATTATCTATATAAATCAATGATTGAAAATATTGGAATTTGTGTTAGAAGACTTTCTTTTGGTTACCTTTCACCCACAAGAGTTGAAGAAACTGATGACTTCAAAAAGATACCGTATAAAAACTTCAAATTTCAAGTATTCGTGTATCAAAATGTCCTACTCCACAACTGGATTGAAAACAATTCACATGTTTGAAATCGACTAACCTGGAATTGGAAATGAGGTGATTCTCTAATTGGCTCAGTATTTTGGGATCTAAAAAGACTTAGATTCTGCCGATAAATGTTACTCCTCTGAGTGGCAGAAGCATAACTTGTCTGAAACACAGAAAGATGAGGAAATTGATTCAAATTATATCTCTAAATCATATTTTAAATTTCTTTTAGTTACCTTACACCTACGAAAGTATCAAATTGAATAATGAACTCCAGATTTGAGATTTCAGCTATCCACTTGCTTCATCCTAAAAAATATATATATTGATTAAATCTAGTGAACCAAACAAAATAAGACAAGTGACAAACAAATTGCAGTACAAGGTGTTAAACGAAAAACAATTTTAGGAAACTTTGAAGTTAAGGCAAAGGATAAAAGAAAATAGTGTAAGAAAATGACCAGCTTGGGTTGAAGTGAGATGATTCTCCGATTGGATGTTGTGAAATCAAATAAGTATGCTCATTCTTGCTACTCTTGCTCCTTTGAATTGAAGATTAATTTTCCATCTATGCGAACTTTAGGGATGTGAGCAATCTTTGAGCAGTATTTTCCTCTACCCCTTTTCCACTGTCTTTTTAACAATGGACAGTGATCAATTCTTAAATCCAGAAGTGAGGGTGGCATGCTTTGCAATGATTTGAGCTTTGGGCATTTCTTAATGCACAAAGACTCAAGAGAGGTGAGGTTTCCTAGATCTGGAATGGATTTGAGCTTTGGGCATTCATCAATGGACAAAGATTCAAGAGAGGTGAGGCTTCCCAGGTCTGGAATGGATTCAAGGTTTGGGCAACTATTGATCTCCAAACTTTCAAGAGAGATGAGGCAGCTCAAGTCTTGAATGGTTTTTAGCTCTCGAAAATTGTTAATTGCCAGCCATTTAAGAGAGGTGAGGCTTTGAAGACCCAAAGTAGAGAGAAGTTAGAGAGGAGGTCGTTCCCATGCTCTCTTGAGAAATTGGCCCTGAATCATCACATCCAGTAATACGAAGTTGTCTAAGAGAGGTGAGGTTGTGCAATCCCCCTTTTATTAGTGACTTACAGATTTTGGAACCTTCCCGAACATCGAGCTCTGTTAGGTTGATTGGAACACCTTCATCTGCACACAATATTGGACAATCTCGCATATTTAATTCTTGAAGAGAGTTTGGAAATTTGAAGGATATTTCTACAATTTATGAAAGATAATTCTTTAAGGTATGTAAGGCTATGAATACCATGAAGTGGCTTACCAACACAACTCAAATTTTGCCACGAATTTGTGAGCTCTTTACAGCAAACAATCTTTGAAATTTTTTGAAATCCTTGCTTTATCCAATTTCCAAACTTTGGAGTACTTGAAAGAACCATAGGATTTAAAGACTAGAATTCAGTAGATATGGTAGTATGACGCACCACTTCCTTGCAATCATTAATTTCTATTTTGCATAGCGATGGAACACTTGAAATTGAAGCCTTCAACTCTGGACACCATAGAATAGAAAGCCTTTCCAATGAAGGAAGACTGATAGGTAATTCTCCAACAAGTTTCGGACATTCAACAATGGAAAGCTCTCGGAGAAGAGGGAATGTTTCAACATCCTCATTCTCTCTCTTAGTGTTCCAACACCGCCATTCTTGCAAATTTTGAAAATGAAGAAGCTCTAATGACTTGAAAAGCATCTCGAAATCTATTTTTTCTAGTCTCTTCATCCCTTTAATGGTTAGGTCTTTAAGTGAGCTCAACATCCAGAGTGAAGGCAAACTTTCACAGTTGTTACAATTTTCTAATTTAAGGGCTGTCACATTGGAGAGCGATGACGAATCTCCTAACCAAGATGGAAAACATGCACCACCATAGCACTTGATTACAAGTTCTTTCAAATTGCTATGAGGTTTTAGCATCTCAAGAACATGTGTTTCTACTTCCTCATTCGGCGAGCCATCAGATTGAGATCCCCATTCTAGCAACAATATTTCTAAATCTTTCAGATTTTTTAGTATGGGCTCTCTAATTTGGTTTTGATGACTAACGTTCTCTAATTTGGAAATGTGAAGCTCTCCTTTAAGAAATGTTAAATTCCTCAAATCATTCAAATTGAAATTCTTCCCTTTGACCACAATAAAATTAGACAACATTCGGAGGTTTTTCAACTCTTTCATACCAGACGGCATCCCATTTAATGAAGTTGCACCTTTAATATCAAGATGACATAGATTAGTCAAATATCTCATCTTGGAAGGTAACTCCAAAAGATGAGAACAATCTTTTAGTAGCAAAGTTTGCAAGTTAAGTAATGAGCTGATTGACTTAGGCAAACTTTTGACCTTAGTGTTAGACAAATTGAGATACTTTAGATGTATCAAGCCTCCGATTGAATTTGGTAAACGTGTGATGATGTATCTTTCTAAGGATAGCACTCTTAACTTCTTCAAATGCGGCAATAAATTAAAAATAATTGTAGCATCTATGTACCTTTGGTCATACGGATCATAAGGACTCATAAATACTGGAAAAAATGTTCTTAGACTTTTCAATTTTTCCAAGTCCTTGAACATATTTTTTCCATCATAATATTTAGAAATATAAGAAAAATGACGAGTCCTTTCAAATTTTTTTGGTAGCATAGAAATGGTTTCCTCATATCTAAAACCGATTTCTCCAAAAACAGATTGTGATAGATCATGAACAAGGTCATGCATTACGTACTTAGAACTATTGTTACTTGATTGTTCAAAAAGTGACCTTGAACATAAATGAAGAAAATACTCACCAGCCAAATTTAGGTGCTTATCTGACTGTTGAATAATGCCTTCTCCCATCCACAAAAGCTCAAGTTCTTTCTCATCAAACTCATAATCTTTAGGAAAAATTGCACAATAAGAGAAACATCTTTTAAGATGTGGAGGAAGATGACGGTAACTTAACCTTAACACGGGAAGGATGTCATTTCCGTTAGTTGAATCCCATACTCTGCTGTTTAATATATTCTCCCATGCATCAACTTTCGGCTCATAGTGTAGAAGACCACCCAGAGTCTTTGCTGCCAAGGGCAATCCTCCACACTTTTTAACAACACGTTCACGAAATTTCCCAAGAGCGTTAGTATCCATACCAGTCGAAGGTGCATGCTTCATAAACAAATTCCAACATTCATCATCTGAAAGAGTCTTTAATTTATGAGTTTCAGAGGATCTCACTGTTACTGCAACTCCTTCATTGCGTGTAGTTACAATTATTTTACTTCCCCGTGCACTATCTTTGAATGGAGACTTGAAGGTTTCCCACAAACTCTCTCTTTCATTCCAAACGTCATCTAAGACCAGCAGGAATTTTCTTCCACTTATTTTCTTTTTCAACTTATCTTGTATTTCATTTAAACTATTTAGATTGTTGGTTGTGTGATTTATTGACTCGAGAACTGACTTCGAGATTCTCATTACATCAAAATCGTCTGAGATAGAAACCCATGCTTTTTTCTCGAACTTGAGATGTTCCAATTCCTTGTCATTGTACACCTCCCGTGCAAGTGTTGTTTTGCCGAGTCCTCCCATGCCCACAATTGCTATCACACCAAAGTTGGCATCAATTGGTTTATCACTTGACACCATCTTAAGTATTTCTTTTTTGTCTTCACCTCTCCCATAAACAGCTTCTTCAGTTGGTAGACTGGAAGTGGGTGGTCTTGGATCTACTCCTTGTTGAGTAGATGCAGCAATACTTGATGTCCCTCCATAAGTCTCGTGCATCAATCCAAGTTCAACTCTTTCTTTATAGAGCTCTTCGAATCTGCCATTGATATCTTTCATCTTGGATCGCATAGTGACATCAAACTTCACAGCACGAGGAGTGAAATGATTGAAACAAGAAGGGGTATCAATGGAGTTCTGACGTGAAACTTCATAGGAAAACTCTTCCAGTAAATCCTCTACATCATAAGCCAAGTCTTGGAGTTCATCGAGCCACAGTTTCACAGCCTTGTTCGTCAGTTGCTTCTCTTCTGCAGAGCTGAGCACCGCCTCAATCTTCAGTAGCTTCCTTTCCCACTTCTTCAGCTTTGAACGAACCCCTTCTTCATTTGCAAAATAATTGAACAACTCAGGGGAAGACAGTTTTTCAAACAACAAAGGAAGGGTTGCAGAGAGCAAAAGTTCAGCCATGGTTTTGGTTATCGAAAGAAAAGACCTGAACGATTTGAGTTTGAGAGCAAAGCAAATAGAAACAGGTTAATTTTTGTGTAAGAATGCTGAAAGTTGGATTCAAGATACAAGAAAGACACAGGCTTTGGTGGCTACAATTTACTATAATAATTTACTATTTTTTAAAGCAAACATAATGTTGGACATTGTGAATGCGTAGAGACACAAACGTGCATACACATCTACCAATATATTGACTAAATTCAACACCTTAGGGTGCGTTTGATTCATTATTTTGGATAAGATTTTGGGAATAATATTGGGTAGTTGAATAAGAGAATATTACGAGATAAAATTTAAAAATTTATAAAAAAAACCCATAGGCTTGTTAATTTAATCAAGAGTAATACTAGCCTTACAAAGAAGTATACAAAAAACTAAATAAAGAGTCAAATTCAGCCCTTGAAATTCATGATTACCTCTTTCTCTCTCTCTTTTTCCTTTCTTTCAAGGGCTGGATTTGACTCTTTATGTGACTCTTTGTATACCTCTTTGTAAGGCTATTATTACTCTTTAATTAAACACCCTAATATATAAAATGACAAAAATACCCCCACCACCTGCAGTGCCAAATTCTAGCCACCACCGTTGGAATCTGGCCGGAAAATTGCATTACGACACAGACCGGTCGGATTTGTGTCGTAATGCGTCGATATGGTCTTTTCTGGCCAGATCTACCACGGATCTGGTCGGAAAAGGCCAGATCTACGACCGAATGTGGTCATCGGTGGCCGCAAAGGTCCATCTTTGGCCGTCAACGACGACCAAAGATATGGCCGTCGTTTTAGGTCAACGATGGTCAAGATTTGGCTGTCTTTGATCTTTGCAGATCGGTGAATAACCGGCCAGTTCCAGTCGTGATGTAAGCATTGTGACAGATTCCAGCTACCACCGACGGTGGTTGTCGGAATCTGACAAGTATGGGTGGATGGGGGTGTTTTTGCTAATTTTTAAACTTTTTTCTGGAGGTAAAAAATTAATAAACTTAAAGGGTTTAAAAGTAATTAAAAAAATATACTAGTATTTTTGGAATAGTGTGCCAAACAATATTTTAGGAATATAATTGGGAATATGGATAGAAATAATGAAATAAATCGCACCCTTAATTTCTATGCCTTTGTTTTTTGTGAAGCCATGTGCATTGCATCGCCCTTCACCAACTTCGATACATGCTTATATTAATTAAACAAATAATATCATATTACTAAGTCCGAAATTTATTTTCCCGATTTTGAATTTAACAGTTAAAGGGCCTTAACGTCTGATTTGATTAGGTTTTGATCTGAAGGGCAAGAATTAATCGAACGGATTGCGACTAAGAGGAGGCATTGTGGAGTGGAGGGAGAAGATATGTTTATGAGAGTTATTATGTGCTCTTGTTTTATTTTATTTTTTTTTCAAAATAATAAATATTATATAATTTTTTAAATTTAGATAATCGACCAAAAGTTGTTTCAGTTTTTTCATTTTTAAAGTTTTAAATTTTTAATATACCAATTGTGTCTCTAATCTTAATTGAAATATTCTTTTTTTTTTTCAATTGTAAATTTTTTTTTTTTGAAAAGGAAACATATAAATTAATAATATATTTGATATTAAAGAACCGAAATAATTTGCGATTATGACATAATATTACATTACTGGGTGTTGAGATATTTGTTTATTGAGAATAATTTTTATTAAGTTATCTTCAAATGATTTGTTGATAAGCTTTTATAAACTAATTTCTATTGGGGAAGATTAATATGATTTAAGTAAATTTTATTAAAATCATTTAAGATGAACCAGTATCCGAACCAAAAATCCAAATTTTTCACCGATTTGGATTTTAGAATAACTAATTTTTTTCGATTTGGTTCAGATACGTTAGCGGATCCAAGTTTAGGGGATTTTTTTTTTTTTTTTTAACACCCCAACCACGCACTGATATCACAAATGAATTGTTGAGGTGTAATCAAAATTAAAAAAAAAAAAATGAATAGTAATTAAAACTTGTCAAAACATGTAGTTTTGACAAAATTGAAGAAAAAATTAAAAATGTGGTCTATAAAATCACTTCCATTGACACAAATAGAGAAAATTCTCTCTCTCTCTCTCTCTCTCTCTCTCTCTCTCTATATATATATATATATATATATATATATACACACACATTAAATGCCTTTTTAATTTAATCTATTTTTTATCTATTAACGTGGTATTAGTAAGAATTTTTACTATAATTTCAAAAAAAAAAAAAAAATTAGATTAGAAACTTATATTATGAATTCTATATTTAATAGTTAGTATTAACTTCATGGTCAACACATATTTTAATTCCCTTCAAAGGCGGATCATGTCTCCCTCCCCATAGGCTTCTATTTAATATTGATTATAATATTACTGTCACAATTTTCTATAAGTTGTAAATTTTAATAAAAAAAAAATATTATAATTAAAATTAATTAAACGTGCATACACATATACCAATATATTGACTAAATTCAACACCTTAATTTCCATGCTTTTGTTTCCTTTGAGGCGATGTGCATTGCATCACTCTTCAACAATTTTGATACATGCTTAAATTAATTAAACAAAAATAATATCATAGTACTGAGGAGTAAACGACGTTTTCCTACTTAAATAATAGTTTATTGACACTTTTTCATCTATAAACTTTTAAAATATCAATTTATTATCTAAATTTATATTTCTTTTCGATTTCGATTTCAATATTATTGCAATCTCACACTACTATCATTTATTTTTCCCAATTATCACTCGTCAAAATTCCTCAAACACCTACTCTCGCCGACCTTGACAATCGTTGGCAATATATCAAGCAATTAGGGTTTGTGCAACTGCCCCCTAGGTCAAATTCCGATCAATCCCAATCACTAAAATCCAATCTTTCACCAGCAAAAGAATCACCAGCCGCCCATCTTTAAAGACCCTAACAGTCTGGACTGAGTTGACTCTCTGTTCGCCACCATAATATAAATTTGGATAGTAAAGTGATATTTTAAATGTTTGTGGGTGGGAAAGGTCATTAAACCATTATTTGGGTTGGAAAAAGTTGTTAACTCTATTACTAAGTCCAAAAAAAATTTTCTCACCCAAGGTTTGGTAAATCCACACTTTCTCACCCCTTGACTAAAAAAACCATATAGAATAGTGGTGGTGTGGGATCGCAACGACGTCAGAATTAAAAACAAAATATAAACTTGGGTAGTAAAGTGATTTTTCAAAAGTTTGTGGGTGGAATTAAACCATTATTTGGGTGGGGAAAATGTCTTTTACTCTTTTTAAAATGTTAATTTTTTAAATTATACCGATTGTGTCTCTAATCTTAATTGAAATAATCTTTTTGTTTTTTCAATTGTGATTTTATTTTGAAAATGAAACATATAAATTAATAATATATTTCATATTAAAGAATTGAAAGTTTTTTTACATCTGTAAAATATAGAAAGTTAAAATGAAAATTATTAGTTCATTGAGAAGTAGAAATTCCCAGCTGCACACAAAACAATAGAAAGACACATAAATTAGACAACATATAATTAACAAAGGCCAAACTTGGACAGAATTAAACTAAACCAGGAATTTCATAAAAGGATAAGCATGAACATTTTTTTTTTTTTTTTTCTAAATTAGGGTTTGGTGTAGAGTTACCACGATAAAATGCTTAATAACAATCAATTCCCATATCGGATTTCAATATAACTAATTCGAAATCTTTACATTGCAATTCTACTATGGATAAAGTTACGAATTGCTTTTATCTTTATACCCTAATTTAGGTCCCAGTGGAATTATCGCTAGTGGGGGTGTTAGTCGAGCCAAGCCATTCGCGAGTAGCTCAGGTGCCATTTCAAGTCGAGCTAGAGACACCTAGTACTCGGCTCAAGCGACTCGCAAGCCTCCACGAGCTCGAAAGGGCATATATGAATGTTTTGTAAGTATGAGGGGGTTTATGTTATTTTCTGTTTTGCATATAAATTATTTTAATTATAGAAACCCTAACTTCTTCTTCTTCATCTGTCAGCTCAGTCACTTCTCCTTCTCTCTTTTTCTCTTCTTTCTCCTTCTCTCCCTTTTCTCTCTTAGACTAGAAAATTGCATTGTAGTAAATGTTCAATGATTTGTTTCTTTTCTGACATAAATAAGCTACAGAGGAGGTGAATCATGCAAGCCCGGAGGTTGGATTAAGGCTTGATCATGGAGAAGGAAGGAGAGGATAGAGGGAGAAGTTGAAGGGAAGTGGCCATTGAAATTCAAATAAGTACCATTGATGATGATGGCTGGATTAGGGCTCTCTCCCCCTTCTCTCTTAGAGAACCTCTTGGAATCAATGGCTGGGATTGGGCTCAAGGTTGAGGTCAGCTCGATTACATGTGTGTACAGGTAATCGAGTCACTTGAGCTCTATTTTTCCTATCGAGCTCGAGCTCCTCCTGTACATGCTGAGTTGAGCTCGATTGTCCAAAAGCTTGGCTTGGCTCGATAACACCTTTAGGGCTAGGATGTCCACTCATAAGGTTGCAAACGAACTGAACACAAACAAACACCCCTGTTCGAAAATCGTTCGATAAGCATAATGGGTTGTTTGAAATCCTGTTCAAACTTGAATGAACATAGAATCGCCGTTTGAAGTCATTCGATTAACAAAATGAGTTGTTCGAAATCATTTGATTAAGTGTTCAATTAAGCATTCGAATAACTCGAATATCTTTGAAGGGAAATTAGAATAGGGTTTTGGATTTTTGTTTAAAAATGTGGGTTGGGTCGGGTTAGCTGGTTAGTTTATTGTGTTTTTATTTTATATATAATGTGTAATTATGTATATACAAAATTATTATCATACATATATTAATCATAGATTAAATGTGTTTTATATGTTATTAAATTATTAAAATAATAGATTATCATGTATATATTATTATTACATAAATTATCATACATATTTTAAATATCTAC